GAGTATAGGCTAAAGGTTATCACTGAAAGGAAAAATAAATTTACTTTATTGAAAAATTTAGTATACAAACTAACCAAAAGCTAGTATAATGATACCAGAAAATATAGCATTTATGGCAAAAGTTATTAGGATAAAAGTGTTCTGATTAAAGTTCCAACTCAGGATCAATATATGTCAACTCTCTGTTTGTATCTAATAGTCTTAAAATACATAACGAAAATCTTCGCAGATTACAAGGGAAACTGGCAAATCATACCATCATACTGGGGAACTAAATACCTTTGCTGCTCCTGACCTGCAGAGGCAGCTGAACTTAAGGTCACTCGTGTGAATTTCCAGGGACACCAAATAAAACACAGACACAAACTTTACCTTTAAACAGGTTTCAGGATGGCTCCTCCTATCTCGGCCTCAAGCTCCCCAAATGGGAGAGCAAGGGAAAGTCACAGAGGCTGGAGAGAGGGAGAGGGAGAGAGGGAGACGGAGAGAGGGAGACGGAGAGAGGGGGAGAGAACAGGTTTGGAAGTGGGCTTTTATTGAAAGGACCCTCATTCTTACAAAGTTCCATCCAAAAAAGGTAAGAAGAGGTGGAATTACACTGAAAGGTGAGTGTAATTCGACCCAAGGGCTGTAGAGCGATGCCTACATCTGAAGACTTGTCCTCAAACTTCTGGGATAGGGCAATGTCCAAGTCACTACAAGTCCAATGTCCAAGTCACTGTAGTGACAGTCGAAGCCTCTCTGCTCCAAGATTAATGACATGAATCATTCAGAGTGGCTCCCCACAACCCTTCTCTTAGGAACTAAATAAAGACATGCAAAGATATAGAAAATCTGAAAAATTTTACCAACAAGCTGATTTAATGGATACATGTAGTATGATTGTGGAATACGGATTCTTTTTAAACTTCACATGAAGGAATATTTAGGAAAATTGTATCCTGAGCCTTAAAGAAGTCTCAACACATTTTGTGGGATTAGTTCATTGAGATAATCTTTTCCAAGTGTAGTGCAGTTACGTTGGGATCCGTAACAAAGACATAGCTGGGAAGAGCTCACACTTTCAGAAAATTTACAACATACTGCTAGGTAAACTAGGAATCAAAGAAGGAAACAATAGAAATTGGGTAATATTTAGAAATAAATGATCATACAAATACTGGATATCAGTATTTTACCCATGCAGCAAAGGGATGCTCAGGAAGATATTTGTAGTATCAATCTTCACATTAAGGAAAAAAGTGCAAATTAATAATTAGCAGAAATAAAGTAAAAAGACTACAACAAAATCAAATGAATCCAATCAAGAATATAAAATAGAGAACATTAACATTTTAGGAATAAAAGAGAGGGTGTTAAGTACAGATGCCGATGAGCTGGAACCAACATGAAATATCAATAAATAACTTCATGACAAGAAATTGGAAAATTTTGGTGAAATTTATACACTTAAAAAGTCAATGATATTGGGTTGGGTGTGGTGATGTATGCCTGTAATCCCAGTGGCTCAGGAGACTGAGGCATGAGGATTTCGAATTTAAAGTCAGCCTCAGCAAAAGCAAGGTGCTAAGCAACTCAGTGAGACCCTGTCTCTAAATATAATACAAAATAGGGCTGGGGATGTGACTCAGTGGTCGAATGCGTGGCCCCTTTAAATCATCCACCACTGCTCCTGCCCTAGCAGCAACCAATCACCCCGCCCCCACATAAATCCCCTTTAACTGAAAGTATGCAGCAAATACAGGAGGAATGAAAATCTCATAGTTTAGCTGTTTTTCCTATTAGGCTAAATACCGCTTGTCAACTGGAGCATGAACAATTACCTTTTGTTGTATTTAACGAATTACAATGTACCAACCCCAGGGCAAAAGGAGGGGATCCGTTTTTTTCAGCCTCTGACACAGATGTTTCCAGTTCAAAGAAAACATCCTTGCAGAAATCCTTTCATGCCACTAGAGGGAGTTCTAACTTTAATTACTATTGCAAATGCCCAAGTGCAACTTCCTAGGGAGATATATAAAAATTATTACTCAGAATCAGAAACCCTTATCCAATACTTTTGTTTTTTTTTTTTAATATTTTTATTTTTTAGTTATCGGCGGACACAACATCTTTGTTTGTATGTGGTGCTGAGGAGCTGAGGATCGAACCCGGGCCGCACGCATGCCAGGCGAGCATGCTACCGCTTGAGCCACATCCCCAGCCCCAATACTTTTGGATTACTTGTGTCTTGTTCTCATAATGCTAAAGAGGAGAATTTGTTGTTCTGGGAGTAACTAATTTTGATTATACCGGTACAATATATGTCTAAATGTGGTCCCATATGCCCTTAAGCCTCTCCAAAGGCTCCTCTATTGCTCAGTTGATTGTGATTCCCTATGTTTCTGCTCAACAACCTTTAAATGAAAGGGGAAATACAAGGTTTGGCTCTGCTGTCATTGGAGCATGTTTACTAATTACTGAAGGTAGACCTAAATTAACTCTTTGCTTAAATGAGCACCCAATTACAGGGATACTGGATACCGGTGCTAATGTTATGGTACTCTCTCTTTCAGTATGGCCTTAGGCAAGAGGCCTCCCCAGTATGGGGCAGAGGAGGCAAAAATGAGCAAGTGTCCTAGAGCTTCTTGTGGTCACCTACTACTTGCAATCCTACTCCTTCCAATCCACAACGAATCATCACTCATGCTCAGCCCTATTTAATGCTATTACAAGATTTAAAACAAAAACAAAAATAAAAAATGAAAGAAAAGTGACCACAACACTCAGAGCAACCAAGAGCTCTTTATTGCAGCAGTGCAACAGAGGAGAAGAGAGAGAGAGAGAGAGAGAGAGAGAGGAAGCGCGTGCAGGAGAGAGACAGAGAAAGCAAGAGAGAGAGGGGCCCGGCAGGAGGGAGTTTTTATAGCCCAAATCTAATGAGGTCTCTGGGTCTGCAAGCTGCCTTGTTGGCACAAGGGGGGGTTACGTGTTCGGCCTTGAGCAGCGGGTTGAGTGTTCAGCCAAGAGCCGGGGCTTGGGCATTTGGGTTTGAAGCGATAGTTGATAAAGAACCAGACAGAGGGTTTGAGTGGCCAGGTCATCCTGCAGCTGACTTTGTTTGGTATGCCCTGCAGACAGCTTACTCAGCCTGTCCTTCACCTAACATTTTTCCCTTTTTGTTTTTCTAAGTGACATGGGGAACAGCGTAAAGTCCTCTGGCTACTTCCTGCTTAATGGTGGGTGGCATAGGACCTAGGAGGGAAAGTGGAAGAATGTTCAGGGGGCAGGTCTGAGAACACCAGGGCAGCCCAAAATGACACTCAGTGGCTATAGATAACTACTTTGGTAGGGGTAAAGTCCATAAAAGTTCCTTGAAGCCACAAGTCGTCGATGGCATCAAACCAGTTCTGGATGGAGGAGATTCTTGGTATCAGCCATTGGTCCTGTTGTAGGGACTCTAGGAAGTATTGGAGGTGGCTTGGTTGAATCCGGTAATGGTAAGGGTGACAGCCCGATTGCAGCCAGTGGAAGGACAATCACCTTGACCCATAAACTGAGAGTGGGTGGTGTCATCCTGGTGCCATGTCGCTTGGATGTTAAAGCGCCATCTGTGGTTGGGATAGAAACTTGAGAGAGATTAATGATTAGTAAAAGAAGACGAGGGTTGGTGAGAAATTTTGAGTTTGGTGGGCGTGGTGGAAGTCCAGGACTGGACATTTGGAACAGGTACCTTTTTAAGGTAGGAGACATGGTACCAGAGAGAGTATCTAAATGCTTGGTTACCATTGGGATAGTAAGTATGACTGTTTGGGGTCTCGTCCAATGATTGAGAATGCAGTTCCTGAAGTAAGACTGAGTCACCCAGTTGAAGAGGGTCCAATTCAGTTTGTGGTTGTCCCGGGATTGAGGCAATGAATGGCACAGGAAGGCATTGGTCTGCGTGTTCCCTGGGAAGTGAGGACTGGACCGCTGTCTGACTGGGTGGAGGTGGGAAGTCTGAACCTGGGAATGATCTCCTCAATGAGGATGGAAGCAATGGTGTCAGCAATTTCCCTGGAGATAGGGAAGGCTTCTATCCAACCTGAAAAAGTATCAACCAAAGTAAGTAGGTAGTGAAGCTTTTTGTGTCTAGGCACATGAGTGAAGTTGATGTACCAGTCTTTGCCTGGCTAGTGGCTCCTCATCTGAGGTGTGGGGAGTTTAGGTTTGATGCTTCCTTGTGGGGATACTGTAGAGCAGAAAGAATAAGCAGAGTGGACCTGCTGGAGAGTGTTCTCATTCCTAGGAAGTGAAAGAGGGATTGTAAAATCTGGAAAAGGGGTTAGAGAGGGTTTTAGGTGGGGGCAGAGTCTCTGGAGCTAGAGGAGTTGGTCATGAGTCATAGGTCTCCGTCTTGGGCATCAGGGGCTGGTAATCTTAAAGAAGTAGTTGATTGACTGGTTGGTGAATTTGTGTATCTGATCTTGCAGGAACTTCTGTAGGCAATTTATTAGACATGGTCCTATTAGGAGAAACATAAAGAGGACTAATAGGGGTCCTGCGAGGGGGAGGAGCCAAGGCCATACTTGACTGAACATTCCCCATGAAGACTGTTGGCTAGTTGCTGTCTCCTCTTTTGCCGCAGTCTGGCTGGGCACAATCAGGAGCCACTTGTCAAAAGAAACTAACTTTATTTTTAGAACCACACAGGACAAACAAAATAGTCTCTCAGGAAAAACCCTCAGAGCCTCAACTGCCACCACCGGCTTTCCCCAAGCCTCTCTCTCCCACACAAGCTTCTCCCCACCTCCCACAATCCTCCTGCTCTTGAGGCCGATTGGCTGGGTCACGTGGGCGGAGCCAAAAAAGTCCCCCAATGAGCAGCTCCGTGGTCTGAAAGGGCAGGGAAACAGTCCAATGAGCATCACCGCAGAGGAGCCAATCAGCTAGATGTTGCTGGGGCCGAGGAGCCAATCAGCTAGATGTTGCTGGGGCCGCTGTGAGCCAATCATCAGCCAGCAGCTGGAAGTTTGCTGGCAGCTGGAAGTTTGCTGGGGCCCCTTTGGCTGTGGCTCTCAACATCTTTTCTAGCTGTTCTTGTCCTTCATTACTCCCAGGAATGACTGTGTTTTGGATTAACTGTTTTTGGTAGGTGTTTAAGATCAAGCTGGTCAAAATTGACTATAAACTCTTGGAAGGATCAACTCCTGCTACTGTTGTTTGACCTTGCAGAACTCCACAGACACAGGGGACTGGACCTTTGGAGGGATGCTCATCAACTACAGCAGGATTAACTGGGTCTGAATTGCACTCTAAAATGGACACAGGTGGACTGTCTCTCCCTGAACTCACTGATAAGGAGGACTAGCAGGAGACACAGCCACAGGGAAAGAGCGTGATTCATTCAGTAAGTGCTGATTGAGTGATTGAGTGCCTGCTGTGCCAGCCAGCGTGAGGACCAGCCCATACCTCTGCCTGCATTCATACTTGTGATCTCACCCTTGTGTTTAATAGAGAAACCAGGCTTACTTGGTGGAGTCATATGGACCACATTGGCTTTCCCTATATAGATGGCCCAGTGTGCATTAAGGGTACCAAGAAATTTCAATTTGTTCTCCAAGGTTTGGTTGTGTTCTGTCCTGTAACAGAAAAATAAGACCACAGATTGGGGGTGGCCTTTGTTCTAGAATCTGGCCTGCAAGAAACCCAAACCTAGGCCTACAGAGTTCTCTGCTCATCACCTGTAGGAATCAGAGAGGAGAGGCCTCTCTTGACGCAGGTGAGAAGCCTCTCTAGCTCAGGACAGGCAGCATTCCAGCTGGACCCACCTTCTTTGCTAACTCCTCTCATGTAGCTCCTGAGACTGAGTTTCTGGCACTGAGCACATTGGATTAGCTGAAGAGATACAAGATCTGATACGAGGACTGTGACCTTGCTTCCTCCTCCAACCTGCACACTCCAGGTAGTCCCTGTGCCCGCCTCACCTGTCATCCCTTCAGCCAGCAGGCCCACCAAGTCCTCCTGCTCAATAGATGGGACTGTAATGTGGGTACTAAGGGTACCAATGCTGATCCTGTGGTGTCAGCAAAAACCAAGCCTGGGAAACATTCTTTGCTGAGAGCTGAGGATGTTATCGGTCTTGACAACTCAGCTCTGATGCTAACAGTTACCAGACTTCCAGTAGATCTGGGCATCCTGGTTATAGCAGAATAAACTAAGATCACCTGGTTGAAGGTCAGCCACCCAAAGATATCCAGTGGGATCCAGTGGGGAAGTAAGGGAATTATCTGAGCCCATCCCCAGTTTTTCTCTCCATAATGAGGATGGAGAAGACCTTGAGGAGGGTTCATCTGAAATCTACAGGACATCAGGGTGGAGAGGCTGAGAGAGGCCACATGTCCACAGGAGCAACATGGGTTGCGGGAGTAGCATGTCTGCAGTGACACTGTGGGTCCTGAACACGGAGTTTCCCACTTTCAGTTCCAGTTCCCTTGTGTTCACCCCACAGCTCTGTCTCCCCAAGAGCCTGAAGAGGGATTGAGGTGGTCCTTGCTTCCTCCCCAAGCCCCACAGTGAGGATGTTGAGCTGCCCCCAGTCCCTCCCACCCCTTGCTGTGTGGACTGCCCAGGATGTGACATCGATAAGTGGGTGTCAGAAGAGAGAGACTTATTTGGGGCTTGGGTGGGGTAGCACTCTGGTGCTTCAAAGCAGGAGCCTCTTCACCAATTAATAAGGGTTTGGGTTTCTCTTGGGCTAGAATGAATGCGCTTCTGATCTGGGGGTGAGAGGAAGGGAGTGTTTCTTTCCATCCTCTGGCCACGCAGTTTCCCTGGGTTTCCAGGGTGTGGGGAATGCATCTCTGGTGGCCTGTCCCTGGTAGGCCTGTGGTTGGCGTTGAAGTGGGTGGAAATGTTCAAGTGTTCTGGTGATTCTGGGTCCTCATTGTGGGGTGTGTCTGTGTCCTCAGAGCCCCTCTCTCGCCCTTGAAACCCTACCCTGTGGCTCTGTTCCTCCGTCCTGCCTTCCCCACACCCACCCAACTTGCTTGTTTTACTTGCTCTCCTCTCTCCCTGAAACCTGGAGATTTTGGAATGTCCCCCGGACCAGAGATGCCACTGAATCCTCCTGAATGCACATTGAGCTCTGATTTCCCCCCTCCCCCACTGATTTCCATACCTGACTGTGTCCTGGATGTGTGCCTTGCACTTGTTGGATGATTAAATATTTTATGTGAATTTTGTCACGACCTGTGCAGCATCAACAAAGGATCTCAAGCAGGAGAGACTGGGGATGGAGAAAAATGCAGAGACATTTTTAAGCAAACCTGGGGCCAGGTGGGACACAGCACTCTGTTGGAGGAACAGTGACCCAGAACTAGCTCTGCAAGTTTATTACGTAGGGTCTCATCATCAGGCAGTGAAACTCCAGGGCACTGTAAATTTCAAGGTTGTGAGTTATCAAGAGGCTTCTTTGTGGACTAAAAAGTTACAGAGCTAGAAACACTTGTGCAGTTATCCTACTGTTCCAGTGCTGGGAACATCCTGCTGCACCCAGGACGTCCAAATCTACTGGAAGTCTGATAACTGTTAGCATCAGAGCTGAGTAGTCAAGGCTGATAACATCTTCAGCTCTTGGCAAGGAATGTTTCTCAGGCTTGGCTTTTGCTGACACCCACAGGATCAGGCTATGGCTGGGGGCTCATCTTCTCTCCACAAACTTTGATCTATGTTTTCCCGTATTGTTATGCTTGCATAACAATACAGAGGAGTTACAGAAAAATGAAACTTAAAAGCTAAATAAAAGAAGTCTGGACATCTAGTCAGCACCACACAATACTTCTGGACAGAAGGATGGCTCAGGTGAGTCTTCAGAAAGGGTTTTAAAGCTTTCATTTAAAAAGCAACAATGACAGTCTGTTAGCAGGAATATGTCTTTTGTACTTGTTGGGTACAGCTCAGGTGTAGAGGGGACAGGGATGGGGCGGGGCAGGTGGGCTGCAGGTATGGGGCTCTTGAACAGCAGGAAAGGAACCATGGTTTGGGTCCAAGAGCCCAGAGGCTTCCCTGCCTCAGCTGCTGTGTGGAGTTTGGTCTCCTGAGTGCTGGCTGCCTCCTGGCACCTCACTGAAGGCTTTACTTTACCCAAACCAGCCTTCAAGAAACAGGTTGTAAAGGAGGAAACGGAGAATGAGATTCCAGTGAGGATCAGAGTGGGGAGTGTCCAAAGGTGGAGGAGGGTTTTGATTCCAAAGCCTTTAGTTTTGTGTTTAATTTAATTAATTCCACAAAAAATGTGAATGTATTTGCCTTATTTAAGAAACCCAAAGCAGAAAATCCAAGGGAGATCAAGAGAGGAAAGGGACCAAGGGGTGGGAGGAGGGGAGGGATGGGGAGGTGTTGGGGAGTGCTATTTGCCAAAATATATTGCTATATGGGGTGCATGTGTGTATATTCAACAAAACGCTCACCATTATGCACAAGTATAAAGCACCAATAAAACGTGGAAAGAGAATTTAAAAAAGCGAAAGAAAGACCAAAATTAAAGTCAAAGCCAAGAGCGTGAAGGATGGCAGCCCTTCTCCCAGGCTCCCTGCTCTGTCTCCTTTCCCTGAAGCAGCTTGGGGCCTGCCCCGCGATATATATTTCTATGCATTTGCACATGTATATAGCTACCTTGTAAATATTGATTTGTAGCTTTAGGTTTTATGGTAGCTTTTAATTGGGTTCCCTGAGAACAGTTCATCTAAGACATACTTGAATCTTTTCCTTTGCTTAATTGTGTTTACTAGAACCAGTTCGATGTGCTTCAATACATGTGTGGTTATTATTTTTTCAGTACTAGGGATTGAAAGCAGGACCTCGTGCAAGCTAGGCAAGTGCTCTACCATTAAGCTACACCCCCAGCCCATTTTAATCTTCATTATGAGGCCAGGTCTCCTAGTTGCCCAGGCTGACCTCAAACTTTTTATCCTCCTGCCACGGCTCCCATATCACTGGGACTACAGCCATGCCTGACCACTGCTGGCAGTTAGTATCTTTCTGATGCTCCAATCGGCCCACCTTGGGTCAAGCTGACTCCTGATCCTTGCTGCCAAGGACTTGAACTCCCAGGAGATCTCCCACCTCCTCCAGGCCGCTGCACCCTCACCTGTCTCTGCAGCAGCTCAGCTCCCTGGCAGGGTGCACTGGGCCAGAGGCTGGGCTCAGCTGAGTGGGGGAGGGATGGTTGCCTCAGAGTGTCCCAGAAATGCAACTCACTCATGCGAACTTCAGAAGAGAACCCCTCCCCCTCTGACTCCCAAACACATCCTGTCTTTCTTTTTCTTGATTTTGGCCTGGAGCCCAGACTCCAGCTGCCCCAGCTTGTCTGAAACCTTCTGGGAAACCCTGAGATCTTGGTTTCCTCTGGCTCTTCTGCTCTCTAGGCAAGTCACCTAACCATCCTGAGACCTAGTCTTCTCATCTGTCGAGGAGGGTGATGGTAGTTCTTGCTCGAAGGATGATGGACAGTGGGGTCAACTGTTCTGCAGTGTTTGGCAGGTTGGGGTCTACACGTGGGTGCTCTGTACCTCATAAGCATCACTGAAGCCCAGGCTCATGGCTGGTGACCTTTAACGATGCGTTTTGGACCTTCTTGGGAATCATATCGACATTTGCTGATTCAAACATTCTCTGTGCATAAAATATGCTCTCTGCAGCTGGCGCACATCACCGCCCCACACGCTGTGCTGCAGACCTACTGCCATGGTCCCTCAGAGACACCCTTCCCATCTCCTCCTTGGTCCTGAGTGCATTCCCAGGATAGCAAGCACATGGTAAATGGAGAGGAGAGGCTTCCCACTCGTGTGAAGAGAGGTCTCTCCTTTCTGATTCCTCAGGTGATGAGCACAGGGATTCTGTAGGACTGGGTTGGGGCTCCTTGCAGGTCAGGTTTTAGAACATTCCATACAAAGGCCTCCTCTATCTGTGTATGATTCTTTTGTTGCAGGACAGAAGAAAACCAAAACGTGGAGACCTAATTGAAATTTTTCGTGGTGGCTTTGAGCACTGGGCCATCTATGTGGGAAAAGGTTATGTGGTGCATCTCGCTTCACCAAGTAAGTATGGTTTCTCTATTAAACACAAGGGTTGAGGTAAAGAGTAAGAACACAGACAGAGTTATGTGCTGGTCCTCCTGCTGGCTGGCAGAGCAGGTGCTCAATCAGCATTACTAAATGAGTCATGCTGGGACTGTGTCTCCTGTGGCTGTGTCTCCTGCTAGTCCTCCTTACCAGTGAGTTCAGGAGAGACAGTCCACCTGTGTCCATTTTAGAGTGTAGTTCAGTCCCTGTTGAATCTACTATAGTTGATGATATTCCTTCCAAATATTCAATACCCTGTGTCTGTGGAGTTCTGCAAGGTCAAACAACAGTAGAAGGAGTTGATCTTTCCACGAGTTTATACCTGGCTGCAGAGTGCAATGGACAGGTGTGGGCCTCCAACCTCCCCAGGACCAGCCTGGAATCCTGCTCCTCTGCCTCCTGACTGTGTGACCTGAGCATGTGGCTTCACCTCACTCAGTTCAGCTTTACCTCAGAAGAGCAGGGATAGGAATTCCTGTCTCCCAGGCCGTGAGGGAGAGAAATGAAGGAGGGCAGGGAGAGCCTGTGCAGGGCCTGGCCAGGTGTGGGCCTCCTCCCTCTCTGTCCCAGCATCATGGCTTTAAGGGACACGCGGACATGCTGGAAACTCCACTCACCTGCACACAGAGGAACACTGTCCAGTCCTTCAAGTCACTAGGAGAGCTGGTGTGGACATGCACCTGTGTGCACATAAGGAAGTCAGTCGAGTGAGAGACATTGAGACCTTCTGTGGCACCTACGGCAGCTCACAAACTCAGAGACTTTGAACAGAAAATGACAAAGAGCTCAGCTCACAGCAGTGCTCACACTCAACTGTTAAAGCGTCATTGAGGGAGTGCATTTGTCCCTGAGCCTGGCCACTAGGAACCTGGCCTCCTTAGGCTGTGCTGCTGCGGGTGCTCCGTGGTTGGTGTCTAACCCCTGGGACAGCAGCAAGGTCCTGCTCACAGCAGGAGAGGGAGGTCTGTCTGGGTTAGAGCTGGCTCTGGGGAAATCAGGACAGTGTCCAGTTAGGGCTGCATGAGATGGGCCCTTTGTTCTTGTTGGTTTGTTTTGTTTGGATGAAGCCCTGGGGATTGAACCCAGGGTGCTCTAACCATGAGCTATACCCCAGCCCTTTTAAAATTTTCCTTTGAGTCAGAGTCTCACTGCATTGCTTGGGCTGGCCTCAGACTGGCCTCCTCCTGCCTCAGCTTCGCGAGTGTCTGAGATTACAGGCAGGTGCCCCACACCATGGCTGGCTAAGGGGTTTTGGTCTACATTCAGTCTGCTGCCTCCTTTCCATTTCTGTTTAACAATCCCCAAGATTACTCTTGGATACTGGATGTTTGTTTTTCAGGAGACCTTTGTAGATGGTAAACCAGGACTCAGCAGATCCTTCATAGGGTTCATGTGAATACAGATTTCATGTCTTAGTGCTCATACAGATCATCTGCTCACAGAGGTCATCTGAAAAGTGCATGGCTTCTGACAAACTTCACCTCCTTGAGAAGAACCACTCGTACAGAATGCTGTTAGTGCAACTAGGTGGAGAAGAATACCGAGGGCTTGGAGAACATTCCAAAGCCAGGTCTTCAGGAGCCCAGAGTTAATCAATTGATTTGGGAGGTGTGTCCAATGAGCAGGTCTCCTTGGTCCCACGAATTACCTGGATCCATTTTTTAGATCCTTAAGAGTCTGGGTTCCCACCCCACGTTCATTGTCTTAGAAGCAGCCTTTTCCACAGTAAGAGCTTCAGTTCCTTCCTGTGGAGCAGTTAGGCTATTGAAAACCCTTTTGTTATGGAGTTTTGAAGCTCAACTGCTTATGTCAGGCTGTCTTCCCTGAAGAGAATTTAATGTGTTGTTAGAACTTTATTTTAGGCCTTGGATTTTTTTTTTTTTGGTCATGGATTTTTCTAATTCAGAGTTTTCCACTTAAATAAAGGGTGTGCTGACAAAAAATAATATCTACTTTTTCTCGTGATTGGCTTTGGAATTTCTTGAAAAATTCACTTATGGAGGAATATTTTATACATTTCAAAAGTCATATGTTTTTATTGGGGGTGAGAGACATCCCAGGTTGCAGCATCCAGCTCCCTTAGATTGGAAACCTTTGTATATCTTATTACCACAAATAATGAATAATCCAATGTGAAAGATACAGGGAGAGTGTGTGTTCCCAGGTAGTGTGTTAGGAATATCGTGATTATTCTGGTCATCTTGGCATTGGCACAATGTCAGGTGATCAACAGTGCTTTAAACAGGGGAAAGCATAATACATTTTTATAAATTTGATAAAAATTTTCACAAATTCTCTCCCCAAATAAATATGATTGACTCCTTTTCTGTGAATATTGGTCTGTACCGTGTGCACACCGGCCCTCTGCCTCATATAATGCTACTACAGAAACACTCCATGTACTCACAGAGATTCTATTGATTTCAACGATGGTTTCAGCGAGTTTCTTAGTAGCATATTTGAAGGTTTCATTTTCATTTTCTAATTTTAGTTCTGATTCCTTCAACACAGGACTCCAGGACCTCCCATGTGAATCATATGAAAGGAATTAATGGTAGAGTAAATGTCCATGCCCAAGTCAGGTCCCAGGACACTAAGATTTCCCAGGTAGAGGGAGGCAGTGAAAGCATTGCAGCCGCCCTGAGCCACCCCTGGGTGGAGGGCTGCTTACAGCACTGCTCCAGCTGGGAATGAGCGCTGGGGAGGACGCTGTCCAGAGGAGGAGGACAAAACTTTCTGAAAATCACTTACTCTCCCAATTTGGCACTGAGGCTCTCTGGCTTGGGGCCAGCTCTGAGCCACTGTGGCCCTGCCCAGGCCTGAGTCCACTGTTTCCACAGGTGACGTGGCAGGAAGTGGCGTGAACAGTTTCACCGTCCTCGGTGACACAGCCATAGTGACAAAGGAGCTGCTGTCCGTGGTGGCTGGAGGAGATGCGTACCGGATCAATAACAAGAACGATGAGGAGTATGACCCACTGCCGCCCCAGAAAATTGTCCAGCAGGCAGAGAAAATGGTCGGGAAGGAAGTCTCCTATTCAGTGACCAGCAACAACTGTGAGCACTTTGTGAATGCGCTGCGCTACAGAGTTTCCCGCAGTGACCAGGTGTGTCCTCAGCCTGTGTCCCCTTCCCTGACACTAGACCATTCCCCAGCTCACAGGGGCTGGGCACCTGCTGAGGGCTGGCAGTGCAACCTGAGTTGGACATTGCCCATGATCAGGGGTCAGGGAAACTGGCAGAGTGAGCAGTGGGGTCCAGGAGAAGGGGACCCTGGTCATGTTGTGCCCATTTTTCCTGCACAAGGTCAACAGGAACACTTCAGCTTTTGTGGGCCAGCTGGTCCCTCTCCTTACTCTGCCAGGGTTGCTCTGTAGCCTGGGAGCAGCCATTGACTCTGTAAACCAGAGGTGAGGCTGTGTTCCAAAAAACTTTATTTCTTTTCATTTATCTACTTTTGTAGAAATAGGAGATTTGACCAACGGGACGCTGGGTAGCAAGTCTTGGTTTAAAAGAACTTGAAGTACTGGGGCTGTAGTTCAGTGGCAGGGCACTTGCCTAGAGTGCATGAGACCCTGAGTTCAATTCCCAGCACCAAATACACACATACACACACACACACACACACACACAAACCCCTAAAACCAAAAACAAACAACCCCCCCAAAAAACCCTAAGAAATATTACATTATACATTTTTAAGTAACAATTAAACATTTAAAAAATCATAAAGGTAAAATATTAACAAATGATGTAATTTTGTGCATTTTGTACCCATGATTTCATTACAATTTTTCTTGACAACCTTGGAATTACACAATCAGCTTATTTAATGAGTGAAAAATGTCTTCTGCATAATTTAAATAGCCAAGCCCGGTTTTATTGTAAAACTGTCAGTCAAATCAGACAATTTTTTCTAGTCAAAAACTGACGATTCTTCAGTTCATGTTGATATTAATGCCCATCATCATGATACCACCTCACATTGTTTCTGTGTTGGATTGGTTTTTGTGTGTATGTGTTTTGGTTTGTGTGTGGGGGTTGGTACCAGACTTCGACCAGGGGTACTTAACCAGTGAGCCATTTTTATATTTTATCCAAAAGACAGGGTCTCTCTAATTTAATTTAGGACTGCACTAAGTTGTTGAAGCTAAACTTGAATTTGTGATCCTCCTGCCTCAGTCTCCCTAGCTGCTGGGATTACAGGCAGGTGTCACCATGCCTCACTGGAGACCTCTCTGTTGGAGAGGTCTTGAATCCTCCCTTCTTGGTGTCCAGGGATGTTTGCATCTTGGCCTGTGCCCCACAGGTTCAGGACAGGGGAGGGACTGGCTCTTTTTTGGTAAGGTAGGAGAAGGGCTGTGGTGAAGAGGGGAGATGGGCGGGGAAAATCCATGCTTCCAGAAGCCAGGGCCCCAGGCTGGAGCCAAGCTGGTAACTGAGAACTGCCAGTCAGCTCTGGGCACTGGGGTGCAGTGAGACCTGCTTTGTTGCTGTGATCTTGCTGAGTGGGTTTCTCTCCTGTCAGCTGGGAGGGTAGACATGTGTCTGGACCCAGGGGAGGTGTGCTGGGGGTGGGTTGGGAGGGTACCTTTTCCTGCATCTGAAACCACTTCAAAGTTGTACAAAAGCCCCAAGGATCATTCCTCACCCCTGGGTATTTTAGGGGTGGTTGGCTCTCTGCTGTGCTTCTGAGAGTTCAATTCAAGCAAGGCTGGGGCACTCAGTGGGCACCTCTTTGGGGAGGTGCCCACTGAGTATCCCAGCCTTGCTTGAATTGAACCTCTCAATGACTTGCCTGTCGTTTCCCACTCCCTCCTTCCTTCTCTTCTGACCTCCTTCCCTCTCTGTACACAGTGTGCTGTGAGCCCTGCAGAACTCTGGGCCCCCAGTGACTCTGCCCACACTTTGCTCTGATAGACCACTAACCTCTAGCAGGGCCCCTGGAACATGAATCTCTGTCTCAAGGAACAATCCCCTTCAAATGCCTGCATGAGAATGTTCTGTCTCTCAGGAAAATGTACTATTTTTTTCTAACCAACAGCAGATGATAGTTGCAAGGCCTCCCTGTCTCAGTGCATTTACTAAAACAGACTTTAAATAGGAATCCTTCCTCTGACTCTGAGAGATGCAGATTGAGAGGGAGGAAGATCACATAGACACTGAGGCCTTACAACTCAGAAGTGTCTTTCTGCAAAGACTGAGAGGGATTCCTTTGGAATCATTCATCAGAAAAGCCAGGGCCTCCTGCTGCATCCATTGGACGGTACAATCTGAACCTCAGTGGTGCCAGGGAGATCACTCAGCGGCCTCATTGCCTTTACTGGGTCACCCTTCATCACTTTTTACCTCCCTGACTCTAGGGACCCCTGCTCGTCCCCCTTGCTCCATTCCCCATCTCCCTTTGAAACACCCCTCACCTCCCTGCTCATAGTGTTTCTTCTGGGATGTGGTGAAGAGGACAGGGATCATGGGTCTTTCCTGAGCTGCAGGTTCCTTGTCCCCATATCTCTGCTCAGACTCCTGAGGTCGAGTGTGACACCCCACCCTCTTCTCTTCTGTTGCAGGTGCTTAGTGGAATCATCACAGCTCTTTATTGGGCTTGTTTTTGGTGCTCCAAGATTCCTCTTTAGGATGGGGGCCGGAATACTGCGGAACAACCAGTAAATCCAAGGCCTTAGGTTGGCGGCACCAGTTAACTCTGGGGGATTTGAGCAAGCTGGTTTACAGATTTCACTCTCTTTTGTAATCATGAGCACTTGGGTTAGTGGAGCCGAATCAAAGCACAGGAAGCTGGTTTCTGAGTGAAATGCTGCATAGCAGGAATACTATTAAAGAGCTTGTTGCACAATGCCATGGTCTCAATGTTTGTGTTCTCTCCTACCCCAAATTCATTTGTTGATGCCCTAACCCTCAATGTGATGGAGTTTGGAGGTGGTGTCATTGGGGGTCACTAGGTTTAGAGGAGGTGCTGAGGGTAGGACCCCTGGGGTGGGGTTAGTGTCCTTCTAAGAAGAAGAAGGGAGACCAGAGCTCTCTTTCCCTCCCTCTGCCATGTGCAGCACTAGTGAGAAGGGGCCCACTGCCTGTCTGGGAGAAGATCTCTAGACACCATGTGTACAGCACCTTGATCTTGGATTTCCCAGGTGCTGTGGCTTCGATTTAGTCTGTCCCTTCCAAGCCCATGTTCTAATACAGTTTCCCTAAGGTCATATGAAGAGGCAGCGTGAGAGGTCACCGGGAAAGGTAGCTGGTGGCTGTGCTCATGTTGGCTGAGCTCCCTCCACAGTACAGCCCAGTTGCTGGCCCGAGTGACCATCAGGTCCTCTATTGTCTCAGCATCTCTGTGCTGGCATGGGAGGCCAGTTCGTCCCCCACCGTCTCCCCAGAATCTGGAGGAGTGGCTGGGAGAGGGTGGGTTTTCACTGTGACATATTCATGTACCTACAAATCATAATTCCTCGGTATTCTCCCTCCTCCTGTTTCCCTTACTCTATTCTTCAGGGCTTCCATATATATATATTTCCATTGGTGCTGAGAGTTTTTTTAAAATTATGAGTGGATATTGAATTTTGTCAAAGGCTTTTTCTGCAGCAGTTGATATGACCATGTGACTTTTGGTCCTTATGCTGTTAATATGGCATATTGCATGTTTGATTTTCAAAGAGTCACCCTTGCATCACTGTGATGAAGTCCACAGGGTCATCGCGTAGTGTTCATTTTGAAAAGAGCTGAATTTGATCTGCTGATGTTGAAGACTTTTACATCTGTGTTCATGAGAGACGTTGATCTCTAGTTTTATTTTATAATACTCAGTTGTCCGATTGGCATCTTACTGTAAATGGATGAGATGAAGTGTTCCCTTTTCTGTTTCCTGAGAAAGTTTCATGGAATGGGACTGTTCCCTCCTCTAATTGCCAGGCCAGGCATTTAAACTGTATCTTTCTTTACAAGAGATTATAAACTAAAAATAGAATCCATTCAACACTTGCAGAACTATTAAGAGAATCTATTTCATCTAGATGCGTTTTGGTCAGTTATGATTTTTAAGAAATCGGTCCATTGAATCCAAGTTGTTAAATTTTATTATGATATTATTTTATTCTCATTTAATGTCTCCAGATCTTTTTTGAAAGCCCCTCCTTCACTCTTAATATTGGAATTTGTGTTGTTTTCCTTTTTACCTCTGTCAGTCTGTCTGGAGTTTTATTGTTTCTTTTTAGAAGAGCCAACTTTTGGCTTTACTGATTTTCTCTATTGCTCATCTTATGGATTGCTGCTCTTATCTTCATTATTCTCTTCCTTTTGCATATTTTGGACTTATTTACTCTTTTCTAATTTCTTCAAGTGGGAACTCAGTATGCTGAATTTCAATTTTCTTCTCTCCTAATATATACATTGAGTTCTATAAAGTTCCTTCTCAGTACTGTACTAGCGATGCCTCACAAATATTGATATTCTGTATTGTGACTTCTGGTCACTTCAAATATGTTTTAATGCCCATGGAGACTTCCTATTTGATGGATGGGTTATTTAGAAGCATAGTGTTCAACTGCAAGTATTGGGGATTATTCTCATATTCTTCTGTTATTGAGTTCTAGTTTAATCTTATTTTTGTGAGAAAATATATGTTGGATGATCTTAATTTTTTTTTTAATTGTAAGGACACTTGGATTCAGACACCAACTCCTGGGGGCAGAGAATTCTAGGCATAACAAGATGACCTCAATGTCTCACAAGATTCACTACATCCTTTGGACTGCCTGTTTTGCTAAAAATGTCTCAAAAATAACTTTCTGATGACAAAACCATAATAAAACATGCTCAGCTAGCTCTGGTGTCAGTCAAGCCTCACAGAACTCAGCCCTTCCTTCTGAGCCCCAGCCTTTTCTCTGTTCTTCACCCCCTTATGGCCCCTTCTGTTTCTGAATTCACAGCTTTGCTGGTGGTGGAAGTTGGCACCCAAACAGGGAGCAGACACATGGGATCTTCTTTATTGGTCAGATGTGGGGGCACTCCTGAATTAGTAGCCACTGCAGTGAAAGAGAGATGAGGAGGGTGTTCTTAGTCAGGTTGAAAAATGGGAAATGCTGGATCTAAAGAAAGGGATCTCTATGTTGCTATGCTTCTGCTTAAGTCTATGCTTAAACCAAGGAAGGCACAGTTACCACAGTTATTAAAATTCATTGTTGAAACTTGCCCCTCATTCTCTAAAGATGGAGTGGTAACTGTAGAAACATGGGCAATTGGTGCCCTGCTTAAAATAATGCTAAAGGATTGAGAAATAAAAAAAGAAGAAAGGGGCTCCCCAGAAAAAAACATAAACCATAGCACCATGCCTTAAACAATAATTTTACAAAAAAAGTTAGTTAAAATGCTCTATGCATGAGGTATTGCTTCTCGAACTAAAATAAAAGTGGCTTTCCTTATTCCTTAGTTTCTATTATATCTCTCTCTCTGCTACTCTTAAATTTAAAATGTAAATTGTGAAGGCCTACAGAGCCTACAAGATTGGTAAGACTTACAGAGAACCAGTTAAGACAAAAGGAAAAAAGTGCTAGGTTTAAGTTCAAGCTGTTTGTGGCTTGGCTGGCTATCTTTTCAGCGTTACCACCCTGTTTTCATAACAAGTTGCTCCCTAATGTTACAGCATTGGGAGGAAAAATGGAAAGATTCCAAATGTACAAACTTTCTTTTTATTAAAAACCTTTTTCTAAGGATTTCACAGGCTCCCACATTCTTTTACTCTGTGAACTGACTCTAATCTGAACTAAATATGACCTGATAAAGATGTTCTTTATGCTCTTTTCCTAGGAATGCAGCTGTGTATTTTTTTAGAACTCATTTTTTTAATGTTATGTTTTTAAGCTGATGATTTTATGGTAAATTCACATTTGATCTTGTATGCCTAAATTATTGTATTTTCTGATTAGTCTTATTTTATTGAACTATAAAGTTTTTTTTTTTAATATTCTGTCTTTGTTCAGAGGCCATTTTTTCAAGGGTCAACTCTCACACTAAAAAAAACCCTTTTACTAAATCCAAAAAAGGACATAGACACAGTGGTGTTAGGGGTAGATCTGATAGCCATCAAGGACAAATGGCCAGCTGTCTGAATCTTTGTTTTCAGTGTCTGTCATGGCTGTTAGGTTTTTACACGTGTCATTTCCAACTGTACAAGCCTATCCTATATTTAAGTCATAATATAAAAGTCTGATAGACTCTAATTTCTATTTAGAATAAAATAATTCTAATAGAGGCTTTAATAAACATCAGTAACATTGCCTCCTACCTGTCAAACTCCACTTACAAAAAAGTTACAAAATCTTTGTTTCTGGTCCGTTTTGTGTATGTGTGCACACCTGAGTATTGTGTTGTTTCTACATATGTGTTTGTGTTCATGTATGATGTACATAGTATTAAAGTTGACATATAGATAAATGTGCACTCATACATTAAAATTTAAACAAGAAATGGATCCAAATATATTTTAGTTCACATAATTTAAAAAAGAAGTTGAATTTAAATGAAATAAACAGATAAAAATAAAAATGTCTTTAAAATTACTAACTCACAAGTTTTTCTAGGTAAACTAGTCTTAAAGAAATTATTGTTTGTCTAACTCTGGTTAAATAAGCACTGTTATTTTAGAGTTTTACCCTACATTCCAGAGTCAAAATTTTTCCTTAAAAACTAAACTTGGGGAGCTGGGGTTGTGGTTAAGCAGTAGAGCACTTGCCAAGCACATTCAAGGTGCTGGGTTCGATTCTCAATGCCACATAAAAATACATAAATAAAACAAAAAGTTATTGTGTTACTGGCCTCTTAGTATTCTAAGAGTATTCATGCCTTCCAAGTATACAAGTCTGTAAAGTATAAGATCTAAAAGAACATTTACCAAGCTGGTATTCTTCAAACTAAAGTTTAAGATAAAAATTTGGTATTTTAAAAATTATATTTCTTGGTTCATAGCTATTATTCAAACTCAATATGTTTTTACTCTTTGTTCATTTCATTTTGTGTTTTCCTTGTAAACCTTATAACTCTTGTCTGTTAGTGCCTTACAAAAGTACAAAAAGCCTCTCCTTTCCAATATTTGGACAGTTTCATTAAAGGACACACAATTCGTCCATGAAATTTATAAATTAGAAGAAATGCTTTACATATTCTCAATGATTTTCAAAAATTACTGGGAGATATTAACTGGTTATGGTCTAACCTACAATTATCTACTACAGATTGGAGCCTTTTATGTGACATCTTATGTGGAGATCCCTCTCGGGCCTCTCCTTGACAGCTCACTCCAGAAACAAGGGCTACATTAGCAAAGGTTGAAACTGCCATTGTGACTACACAGCTTACTAAGATTAACATACAGAAGTCTATACAGGTGTTAATATTTCCTACTTGTCACACCCCTACAGGGGCCATATGACAGTCTTCAGAAATTATTGAGGGGCTCGATCTTGCTCACTCTCCTCCAAAATCTTTTATTTCATTTCATAATTTTATTGCTCAGCTTATTATTAAGACAGAGGTCAAGTCATACATTTGATGGGAGCTGAGCATTTTTCCACTATGATACCCTTTTCAGTTGAACAACGACATTGATTCTAACTATCATCCTTACATATTTGACAGGTGACTTTTGCTAATTTTCCTGGTCAAGTAAAAAATATTCATCAAGTCATTTCTCAGTGTTTAACTGCTTTTGCAGTGCTGGCTGTCCTCTACAAATTAAAACCAAAACCATGCTAGTTTAACCCTATTTTTTTGAGAAAATATATGTTGGATGATCTTAATTTTTTTTAAATTTGTAAGGAAACTTGGATTCAGACACCAACTCCTGGGGG